AAGCCACCAACCCAGTCGGTGGCACAGCACAGTTGTCTCGTACACGTTCCTGGATCGGCGGCTCGACGTTGTCGTCGCCACCGCCGTCTCGGACGCAGACCAAGCGGCCTCGAGTCGGTTCCTCGCGCTCACTGGCGGGCCTGGCGGGCTCTGGAAGATCCAAACCGTCTCCGACAACGGCACGTTGATCCGATGCCGGTCGATTCGGCCCATCGACGACGAAGACATTGATCTCGCGTCGCTCTTCCCATATGAGATTGTGCATACGCGAGTCGACGGCAACCCGACGCTGCGCCCGAAAAGCCACGACGACATCTGCAGTGCTTTCCTACTGCCGCCCCTCCTGCTACACTGCCGGACTACGATCTTTAACGTCTACCGCATCGACACGGTGGGCCAGACGTTCGACGCCGACGTGTACTTTGAGCTGCGCCTGCGCGCCATTGCGACGCCAGCCGTCGACGAAGCGTGGGTCACCGAGGTCGCGTCTGCCATTGGTCTCTCGGAAAAGACCATCGACTGCCTCAACGTCGTCTCGCAAGACGGGAGTCGCGAGATGTGGTGTAGCTACAGTATCCGGTCGATGATTCCAGGGCACGCCGACTATTGCTTTAAACTCCGACTGCGCGGGTCGTTTTCCGAGCAGCTCGAGCTGCAAAGCTTCCCGTTCGACACGCAGCAATTGCACGTGATCTGGACCGTCAACCTCCCGGGCACGTACGTTCGGCTACGGGCCAACGAGCACTTCCCGAGCCTCTTTCTCCGCAACAACTTTCAACTTGGAAATGTGTTTGACGTCGTCAGCGCCGAGCACGTGATTGCGCTCGTCGACCAAAGCGATGCGGTCGAGTCGTCGTCCGGGCACATTTACGACCACTGCAGTACATCGATCGTGTTACAGCGGAAACCCGGCTACTACATCACCAACATCTTGCTTCCTATGGGGCTGCTCACGTACCTCGGTTTTCTCTCGTTTGCAATCGAATCGCCCAACACCCGCTTGGCGACCCCGGACCGCCTCTCGATCTCGCTGACGCTGCTTCTGACGGCGGTCGCCTACAAGTTTGTCGTCGCCGGCGCGATCCCGCAGATTCCCTACATGACGACACTGGACATGCACACGACATTGAGCTTTGTGTTTTTGACCACGACAGCAGTCGAGAATGCGCTCTTTCCGAGTATTTGCGCTAGCGACGGCTGTTTTGACATCGAAACCATCGTCCTGTGCGTCCTTGCGGCGCTCATCACGGTCGGGTACTTGTACATTAGCTTTGGCGCGCACTACGACCTGCGCGCGCGCGCCGCCGAGCACAAGGCGCTCATCGACTACCACCTGTTGCAAATTCTAATTGCACAGACGTACCCGACGCAACCCGACGTCGTCCGAGCAAAATTGCTCGCCGAAGTGTGTGCCGCGACCAAGACACCGGTTACGACGACGGTCGGCGACGGCAAACGCACGGTCCTTATCAAGAAAAGCGCCGGACTCTGCAACGAGTTCAAAGAGCGCTGCCTCTGTGAGCTTGCCACATGTGTGACCCGCCTCGGCAAGCTAGAGACTTAGATAGTTCTGTAGCGTACTTACAGGTCGAGCGCCACGACACTTTGTTCTTATACGAGGTGTACTAGTACATTGACACCCTAAACCGCCTTGCCAACACGCAGCCATGCTTCTCGATCCAAGCGGAGGCCGACACCTCGTCCGATCTCGCACAAAGGTCGACGCACCCGACTCGAAACGTGACCAAGCAGAGGTCATTAGATGCGAAAGGGCATCATTTAAGTGTATAACCCACAGTGGTTTTATCGCCGAAACTCGCAAAAGCATACAAGTAACCGAAATGACGCCGCCGACTCCGCTGAGCGCGAGCATGAGCTCGGTGAGCCTCCTCAGCAGCGCGTCGTCGCCGGTCAAGAAGCTCAAGAAAGAGCCAAGCGTTATCTTGCTGCCAAAAGCGCTTCGTTCAAGCGACGAGGCCCAGCGCGCCGAGTCGGCCACCGTCCTCCGCGAGAGCGCGGCCCACGAAGCGTTCGGCAAGAGGTAGCTCATCTCGTCAACGAGATTCACGACAACTTGTATGTCGTAGCCGTATGGAAGGCTTTGGCTACGTCGAGACCATCCAGTACATGCAAATCCTCGACAGCCACTGTCGGTTTGAGTTTGAGCCGTCGTCGGCGCTCATGGTTGTGACGGGCCACCCGGCCAGTGGCAAGTCGTCGCTGCTCATCAACTGGGTCCAGCAGCGTCTGCGCAAGCCGCCGCCCAACCCGGAATTCATTTTCGAGCACTACTGCGGCTGCTCGTACGAAAGCGTCAAGGTACTTTTGCTTGACCTCGCCACCATATCTCTCTGGATGGTGCTATAGCTCTCGGTGTTTTTATTTCGGCTCATGTTCCACCTCAAGGCCGCGTTCTCGCTGCGCGATTTCGAGGTACCCGCTTCGATCCTCGCAAAATAGACCCTATTCGTACGACATTTCGCAGCTGCCCAACGAACACGAAGAAGAGAAACTCAAGTTTTCGCTGGCGCGCTGCCTCGAAGGCGCCGTGGGCCATCGCGCGACGAGCCAAAATGGCAAGCGGAAAAAGTACATTTTTGTCCTGCGACGTCGATGTGCATGACGCGCGTAGCATCATTATTGTCTTGGACGGAGTTGACAACCTGCGCACCGAAGACGGCGGCGAGAGTCTCTCGTGGCTACCCAACAACCTCCCCGCTGGTGAACTCCGTGCAATTTGATGTCGTGGTGCCAGCATGACGTCGACTAGGGGTGCGCATCTTGATGTCGGCGACCAAGCCCGCCAAGAGCGCGCAGCTCGCGAGTTGTCGCTGGATCGTTCGTAAAGAGTACAGCTACGACAGCGAGTACGACAATATTGTACCGTGTCAAAAGCTGGACTTGGTGTCTAGCGATGACCTCATTTTCGAGTCGACGCTGGCCCCCGACGTCTCGGATACGCACACGATCAAAGAGCTTCGACGTCGCAAGGCCGGCTTCCTCACGGTCGAGCCGCTCGACGAGCGCATGTGTCTCAAGATCATTCACGTACGAGCGTTTAATACTGTGTTATTCGCTGCTCACATTGGCGTGTAGGACTACTTGACGCGGGTAGATGGCGTTGGTCCTTGCTAGCCTCGTCACCGGATCGTAGAGCCCTGCGACAATGAACGACGAAGCGATCCAGACGCTTCTCGACGGCCGTGGGAGCAGCTCGCCGTTGTACTTGCGGTTCATCCTCACCATGTATGCCTCGAGCACGGCCAAGACCGAGTACCTTCGCCAAGTGCTCGGCGTCTACGACTTTCCGACCTTGTACGAGGTACAGAACGTCTATCGATCAATGTCATGATGACTCGTCGATTAGTTTGTCTTGCAGCAGTGGCGCACCATTCTGCTCGCCGACGTTCAGGAAAACTACGACGCGGTGGTCGCCCGAGTCCAGCGCCCCGAGGTGGTTCCCGCCTCTGAGACCCGCAAACGCGGCAGTCGGCGCGAGTCGGAAGGCATTGCGCCGTCGTTGGCCGTCGACGACGCCGACGTCGAGAAGGCGCGAGGGTGCGTCGAGCGTCGCGCTCTCTTGGCGCGCCACGCGCTCTCGCTCTTCACGGTCGCTCGGTTTGGGCTCTCGGAAAAGGACTTTCACCATTTGCTGGACGACGCCGCGCCGCGTACCGTGCGCATCGTGCTCTTCCAGCTCCTCTTGCCGCACCTCATGGCGATCCATCGGCCCGACTGCGACGTGGTCTTGTACGACTTGAGCCACAACCAACTCCGGCTGCTCGCACGGTCCTCGCTCAGGTTCCCAGTGGTTTCTCAAGGTTGTGAAATGTGTAGGTATGGGTTTTTGCGCGACGATAGTCTCCGGCACGGCTACCACAAGACGATCGCAACGTACTTTGAAAAAATGCCCGCGAGCCAGCGCCGCATTGACGAACTGCCCGTGCAGCTCGAGTGCTGCAATTTGTGGTCCCAGCTCCAGGCGTGCCTGGTCGACATGAAGATGTTTCAGCTCTGGTGGCACGAGCGCAACCGACAGGACTTTCTCGCGTACTGGCGCACGCTGCGGTCGTACTTTAGCATGCACGACCCGGTCGACGACTACATTCGGTCGCTCGACGAGTACATGGAGTTTGAGGGCCCGAGCACCGAAGAGCTGCTCTCGCTCTTCTTGACGGTCCATACCGTCATCTGCACCGCGATCTCATGCTTGGAATCAACTAGATCACCGAGTTTTTACGGACGTGGCAAGCCACCGACGAGATCAAGGTGCTGATGGATCGACCGGACCCGCCGCAGCTCAAAGAGTTTATCAACAGCCAAGGCACGTTCTCGCTCGCGCATCTCAACGACGTCGAGTCCAAGCAGATCCAGGGCATCGTCGACTACCTCTGCCCGCACGAGACCGACGATGGGTACTACGTCCGCCGGTGGCTCTGGACGCAGTTTCCGCTCATTGCGGTCTCGTTTGAGAACCTTTTCCTCAAAAAGTTCTCCCACTCGGAGCACGCGGTCGAGTCGGTTGCGCCCGACAGCATGCACAGCACGGCCGGCAGCGGACCGCACGACCGTTCCATCTCGACAAGCTCCAAGCGTGAGCGTCAAAACAGCGTGCCGAGTCTCAAGCCGCCGACCAATAGCAGTGGCCCCGTCTTTCCGAAGAGCGTGGTCGCCGAGCGCAAGCGCATCATCACGCGCCACTCGCCCAAGAAGAACTCGATGGCAGCGCTCGAGTACCTCAACCCCGGCGAGTCGGGGGCCCTCGAGTTTGTCGAGTCGAGCGGCAACACCAACATCAACCTCTCGGTCCCAGCGCTGCGCGTACGCTCTGCATGAGAGACTGCATGTCTTCAGTGTCTTGAACTGTAGGACCAGCTGCGGGAGCTCCGAAGTCGCCACGACAAGTTGAAATTTGTCTCAAAAGAGCGCGCCGATATCCTCGCCACGCTCGAGGCCAAGCTCGTGGACGCTCGAGCCAACTCGTCGCATCAAAACCAAAATTCGCAGCTCCGCGAGCAGCTGGACGAGAGCATCCGACTCGCCCTTCTTGAAACGACGCACGGGCGGCAGAAAAGCGACTACTACAAGACCATTCTGCGCCAGTGCGAGTCCAACCCGGCGCGGGACCCGAATGTACTCCTTGCCTTCTAGTCGTACAGATACGAGGGTTAGGGTGACTAGATCATTGAAGGCTCCGAGAGCAGCGTCCGCAAGATGAAGCAGGACATCACCGACCTCCAACAAAAAGCGCAGGTGATCGGGTACGAGAGCCGCCTGGCGTCGATTGAGATCCCCAAGCTCACGGCCGCGATCCACGAGAAGCTGGAGATCCACCAGCTCACACTCTCACGGTCTTTTCTCGCCCATTTCGCTGGACCGTTGCCACCGCGCATTAGGTTGCGCTGGCGCCACTTGCAGATCGAGCGTCAAATGGACTGGGAAGCGCGCTTCCGACTCGCGGCGAAAGAGATGAAGAAGCAGGCGGAGGGCGACCTCTCGTCGGAAGAGGAGGTCGAGATGCTCATCCAAATCAAGGAAAAGGAAGAGCACAAGCACGACATGAGCTGCCTCCGCGTCCAGAAAGCGGCCGACCTCAAGCTCTACAAGGGCAGCAACTTTAGCGACGACGGGATTCTCGGCATGCTCCGGCACGTCGGCGTCAACGAGGCCGACCAAGTGCTGCTTCGGTGGCACGACCAAGTACGTCCCCGCTACACGACCACATGGACTGGACCCGGTCGTAGAACGAGCACGCAGCGCAGCTCGCGGCCGAAGAGCGGGAGGCCGAGGCGCGGGTGCAAGCGTGCCGGCTGGAGCTCGAGGCGGTTCGCGTCGAGCTACAAAACTTGAAGCTCGGGCAAACGACCGCGACACCCGCCAGTAGCAGCAAGCCAGGCAAGGACGACGCGCCAAAAGCTCTGAGCGTCAAGCAGCTCGAGCAGCAGCTCACCGACGCGTCGGCCTTGTCGCAACACAAGAAGCAGCGCGCCCAGCGGCTCAAAACGCTCTCCGAGGTATTCGAATCTCTTCACTTTGCTGTGACACGATTCTGTCGGAGTAGAACTTGCACTTGGGGCTCCTCCACATTGCACAGATGCTCGGTGTCAAGAGTGACCAGGGCATGGACACCGCCATGCTCGTCGACGCGGTCGAGCAGAGCGTGCGGAGCCTCATTGGCGATGACGCGACGGCGTCCGGCCCACGAAAGAAGATCATGGTCGCGGCCCCCCTCGGTCTCCGCGCCGAGAAGCCGCGCTACAACATTCGCGTCCAGCGATCGCTCGACGACGAGATACTCTCGGGCGAGAACGCCTCGAGCGACGAGTCGGACGAGAAGGACGTCGAGGAGCCGGCACTCGAGCGGTCGACGATCAAAGCTGGCGCGATGCTTGAACTGCAGAGACGCACCAGCGACAAGCGTGGCGACCGCAAGAGTGTCTTGGCCAAGAAGAAGAAGAAGAAGAAGCTGTCCAGTGCCGACGCCAGTTCGTAGGCGTCATCCTCGCAGCGTGTCATGATGCACTGCTAACGTGCGTTCTGTACTGTACAGATGAATGAAGATGTATCTTCCTCTATCACGTCGAGCTCATGGTGGTGGCATGACGGACAGTAGCTGCGATATGCCAAGGTGAGGACTAAACGCAGAAGACACGCATCTAGGACACCGGCCACCATTGTCGTGGCCAAATTTTGAGATCTTCCATGTCTGTGCACCGTTGGCTCTATGCAGCCAGGACCACATCCACCTGTGGCTCGTCTGGTTCGCACCGCGAGCTCGTAAGATCGATCTGGTCAACACAACCGCATAGCTTCCCCACATCTGAGCCGGCGGAGCGGCCTGCGCTGGATCGCGCCGAGGTCCGTTCTATGGACGTAGCCTTTGGCTGCCAGCGGTGGTGGCCGGGGCCGGAGAGATACTAAGGAGCATCCAGTCCAGTACGCGCGAGAGTTGGACGACGATTTCCCAAGGTATGCGGGCACAGACAGGCCGCGGCGACACCGCATCTTGCCTCAATGTAGACGGCCGTCGATACCGTATTGTCTCGTGCAAAGTCGCTTGGCTCGGTGACGGAGACGGCCCGACAGGACTGGCACAGCGTTCAAGGTGTGGCGGGAGACGGTGCCTGCTGGCCATCGGTTCGATTTGCCGGCCACAACCACAGACAGCGTGAGTCACATCGGCCAAAGTGGGACGATCCGGGTGCTGTGGACAGTTCGGTTCGAGATTGCCATTGCACGCGCCGGCTCTCTTGACCCAGCTGGCAACAAGATCGAGTGCGAAGTTCATCCATTTGCGAATCGGACATGCAGTGGTTTGACCGCTGGCGCCGGTCGTCGCTCTCGTCGTCGCTCGGGCCGCGCTCGACGCTCTCGCTGCACAAGCAGGCGCCGCCGGCGTCCATCTTTTGCTTTCCCCACGACGTGCGCACGCTCAGCGACGCCGACCTCGTTGCGCACGGCGACCTCCTCGCGCGCCGCTTCCTCCGCCTCTGCGGCAGCACCAAGCACATGCAGCACAGCGGGCACCGCCCGGTGGTGGCCAAGTACGACAAGGCCGCACACCTCTACACGGTCCACGCGGTCGTCGAAGTCGAGCACAGCAGCGTCAACGAGATCATCGAGCTCCTCGCCGGCGACATGGACCCGTCGACCGCGCACCACGGCTTTAACGTCTTCATGGCGCGTGTCTTCGGCGCGGACCTCGTGGCGACCACCGACGTCCGCCGCTGCGCACCGACCGAGCCGACGACCAGTGACGACGACGACGACAGCGATGATGTGCTGAGCGACGATGTTCACGATGCGGCCACGAGCACGCTCGCCCGCCTCGCGCGCGCGGGCGTCGACGGCTGCGCGTCCGTCAAGCAGTCAGTGTTTGCGCACCACGGTCTCTTTACCAAGCGGCAATCCGAATGGCTCGTGCTCGACTACGCCAAGCAGCTCAGCGACAAGTCGTTTGTCCGCGTCTTCAAGAGCGTCGACAACAACGTCTCGCACCCGACGCTCGAGCGCAAGGGCCACAAGAAGACGCGGGTCATGACGCGCCACAAGCACCTCCTCTTTGGCTTCCACGTCGAAGAGGTGCAGGGCGTCTGCCGCATCACGTTCCACGCCTCCCACTTCAGCCTGCACGCGCAAAAAGAGACCCAAATGTACCTCGAGCGCATGGCGGGCTCGCTGAGCGGGATGCCGTCGCTCCTCTTTCGCCGCCGCCTCGGACGCCGCCTCACGACGCGCCGGCTCAAGATCCCCGAGCTCACGCGGTCGTGTGCTGGCTGCAACGCGCTCCTCGGCGCTCGCAAGTCGGTCTGCCGGCTCTGCAACGAGTACTACTGCTTTGACTGCACGAGCGTCCAGCGCGCCGAGACGGCCGTGCACGTGCCACTCCTCGAGCTCCGCGTCTGCCACGACTGCGTTCAGCGCGCCAAGGACGGCAGCGACGTCGACTTTACCACCGACCACGTCGACCTCGCGCCGTTCATCAACAGCGGCTGCCACGACCCGGCGTGGCTTTTTGCGATTTCGGATCGCGCCATGTTCCGCATCAGCGAAGGCACGTCCGATGGCGCCAGCACGCCCACGTGGCCCGACCCGTAGCGCTGCTGCCACGACCCGGCGTGGCTTTTTGCGATTTCGGATCGCGCCATGTTCCGCATCAGCGAAGGCACGTCCGATGGCGCCAGCACGCCCACGTGGCCCGACCCGTAGCGCTGCTGCCAACCTCTATCTATTCCTAGCCGGTCCCCACTAGACGACTAATCTGCACCGTATAATATCTTATTGCGCCCGTCGGATCGAACGACGGGCTCGCGTCATCATCTTCTTTCGCCTTGCTCGTCCCAGCACGTTGGTCGTCGTCGGCGTCGACGGCGGCGAGCGCTGTAGGCGGCGCCAAAGGCAAGCGCCCCGCGTCACGTTGTTTCAGCTCGGGCGACGGCGTCGTCCAGCGACGAGGTGCAGCGTAGCGTTGAAAGCAGAAAGGCCATGGCAGCTGCTGCCGTCGTTGGCGTCGCTCGAGCTAGCTGCCGCCCAAGGCTAGTGCATGTACCTCGTCCGATCTCCTCGTTCGAAGCCGCTCGCCGCCCATCAACCAGCATGGTTCCGGCTACTCGCGGAGCTACTGCAAGCGCCCAAATCGGACCATCGGACCGCGTCTTTGCCCCAGGCGCCGCCATGTCGCAGCGATCTTTTTTAGCCGACCAATCCAAAGCGGCGGATTTCCGATGGCCCAACCGGATGTGTCGCAGATATTCCCACCCACTTTTCGGTCTCGACGGATCATCATGGCCAGCGCTCTCGTGGCCGAGCGCAAGCGCAGCACGAGCAGCGACTACGGCTACTGCGCCTGCTGCGAGAACGCGTGTGCCCACGACGCGCTCATGGCGGTCTCGCAGCCGTGGAACCCGCTGCGCCGCCCGTCGTGGCAGGCCGCGATCGTCACGTGCGTCGGTGCGGCCGTGCTCTTCGTCGCCAACCAACTGACAACGCTCCTCGTGGGCTTTTACCCGGCGTACGCCAAGCACACACTTGGCGCGTCGCCGCTCGAGATCTCGACGCTCTTTTCCATCTACCCGCTTTGCATCATGCTTGCATGCCCGCTCGCGTCGATCGCCGTCAGCAAAATTGGCCGCCAAAGCGTGCTCTGCCTCGGCCTCTTTGGCAGCGCGATGGCCACACTCGCCTTTGCGTACGCGACCAACGTGTACCTTCTCATTGCTCTGCGCAGTGTGCAAGGCTGGGGCGCCGGCATGGCCATTGTCGGCTCTGTTGCGATGATCGCCGACGGCTTTGGCAACCGCGTCGGCCACGCCGTGAGCGTCACGGAGCTTGTGATTGCGATTGCGTTCATTAGCGCGCCCATGGTCGGCAGTGCGCTCTACGACTTTGGCGGCGTCCAAGTGCCCTTTCTCGCTTCGGGCGTCGCGCAACTGGCCTGCGTCATGGTGCTCCCGTCGCTCTTCCTCGAATATGGGCTCCCGGATGGTCTCGCGGGCGCAGCGACCACGAGCCTCAACTCTGAGCCCGAAGTTGGCTACACGGATGTCCTCACGCATACGTCGCTGAGCTGCCTCTGCGTCACAGCGCTCATCATGTGTGGCTTTGGGCTCATCGACCCCAACCTCGGGTCGCACCTTCAGAAGGAGCTCGGCGCCCAGCACACGGCCATCGGCGTCGGGTTTGGTCTCAGCGCCCTTGTCTACTACCTCGGCGGCGTCGTCTACAGCGTCTTTAGCACCCAGTGCGGGTGCAAGCCGGCGATTGTGGCCGGCCTCGTTACGAGCAGCTGCGGCTTTGCTAGCCTCGGGCTACCGTCGCTCGTACTGGCCCCGAGCGCGCCGTCGGTGTGGGCGCTATGGAGCCTGCAAGGCCTCGCGCTCACCTTGATCGGCTGCGGCGCGTCGCTCTCGCTCGCGCCTGTCTTGCCGCTCGCGCTGGCGTCCTTGCCACGCTGTGGCAACGGCAGCCTCCAGCTCCTCATCGGCCTCTTTGGCAGCGCCGTGTACTTTGGCCAAGCCCTTGGCCCCTTTGTCGCGCTCGGGCTCATGCAGGTCTTGCCGGCGCGTCGCACGTCCTACTGTGCGGACGGCCACACGTGCGAGAGTCCGCTGCCGTGCGTCTTTGTGGTCTTTGCCGCCTTCTTACTGCTCGTCGGCGTGGTCCTTGGCGTCCGATTGGCGTCCGAGTTGGACCTCGCGCCCAAAGCCAAGACGCGCCAGCTCCAAAAGAAGATGAGCAGCCTCGGCATGTACCTGCCCGAGTACGGCCAATTTGTCGAGTTTGACGACGACGAGAACCCCGAGAGTTTTGAAGAAGACGAGGCGACGCCGCTCCGGTATCTGCACACGTCGCCGTCGTATGGCACCGGTACCTACCCCTACCCTACCCCTACCTTGTTCACAATGGACTAGGGACCGACCAAGAAGTGCGACAAGGCTGGGTCTGCCGACGAAGCGACTCGAGTGGCGGGCGGTACATTTGTGGTCCCCCCGAAAACATCGCGGTCGCGACGCCCACAACGTGATGCCATTGGTTCGAAAAAAAGTATCAAAAATAATGAGCTAACAAAACACCTTGTCTGTATGTTGCATCTGCGTCTTAGACGACAAAGTTAAGGAGCGCGTGCTGGCCTTGCTTTCGCGACGGCACAAAAATGACCTTGCGAATCCCAGCGCTGTCGCCCACGTGCTTTTGGACGTTGGGCAGCGCCAGCGCCAGCGCCCGCAGCGTCGCCTCGTCCGCATCGGCCGGCACTTGCATCGTCTCGCGCGTCTTGCCGCGGATCTGAATCACGACGTGCATCTCGGCGCTCGCCAGCACATTGGGGTCGTGGACGGGCCACGGCAGATCGTGGACGTCGTCTGTTGCCGTCCGGTGCAGCGTCGCGTACATTTCCGACGCGTTGTGCGGCGCGAGGGGCGACAGCATCGTCACGAGCGAGCGGATGGCGTGGTCGTACGCCGGCGAGCCCGCAAGATGGCCCACTTGACCCATCTTGTTGGAGAGCTTCATGAGCTCGGCGATCGCTACGTTGAACGACTGGGTCTCCTCGAGCGCATTCGTGACCTTTTGGATGGCCGTGTGCACGGCCAGCGAGAGCTCCTTGGCTTCCTTTGCATGGCTCTCTAGACTGTCGGACGATGACGACGTCGCGTCGAGATGGTCGTAGAGGAGGCCCCAGATGCGCATGAGCCAACGCGACTGGCCGAGCAAGTCAGCTTCGTCCCACTCGAGCTCGTGGGCTGGCGGCGCCTTGAAGAGCACAAGGAGACGCGCCACGTCGGCACCATACTGACGGTAAATGTCTTCTGGGTCGACGCCGTTGTACTTGGACTTGGACATCTTTTCCCAGGCCGTGACGACGACCTCGCCCGTCGCAGCTTCGCGCACGGTGCCGTCGTCGTCGACAGTGATTTCGTGCGGCTTGAGGAACCGGAGCGACTCGGGGCTTTTGTACGTGCGACCGAGCACCATCCCTTGCGCGAGGAGCTTCTTGAAGGGCTCGGACGTCGGCACGTTGTGGGTGTCGGCGAGGAACCGGGTGACAAAGCGCGAGTAGAGCAAGTGCAAAATCGCATGCTCGATGCCGCCAATGTACAAATCGACACCGTTCGTCATCCACTTGGTCAGTTGCGGCTGCGTGAACGGCGCGTCCGCGTTCGTCGCGTCGCCGTACCGGAGAAAGTACCACGAACTGTCGACGAACGTGTCGAGCGTGTCCGTGTCCCGCTCGGCGGGGCCGCCGCATTCGGGGCAACGGCAGTGCTTCCAGTGCCCCATGCGCGCGAGAGGCGACCCGCCCTTCCCGCGCAAATCTTCCTCGGGGTTGGTCAGCGGCGGCAACTCGACCGGCAAGTCGGCCGCCGGCACACCGACCGGACCGCAGCTTGGACAGTGAATGACGGGCACCGGCGCGCCCCAATAGCGCTGGCGGGAGACGAGCCAGTCGCGGAGACGGTACTGGACATGGGCGTCGCCGTGGTTGTCAGCTTGGAGGTGCGCAATAATGGCCGTCTTGGCAACATCAGCGGACAAACCCGAGAAGGCGCCGCTGTCGCAGAGGACGTTGTCGTCCGTCAAGACGCGGCGCGCCGCGAGCCCGTGGTGACCCGCAAAGACGGCGTCACGGTCGTCGTGGGCAGGCACACCCATGACCGCACCAGTCCCCACACCTGGGAGAACGTACTCGGCCAAGTACACGGGCACCTACGACGGTGCGTTGGCAGATGCTTGGACGTGAAGAGCGCACCTCTTGCTTGGTGATGGGGTGCACGACCGTCAAGCCCGTGTTGACGCCCGAGCTCGTGTCGCCGTTGTTGCGCTGGTCCTACGCACGCGAGAAGTCTGAGAATTTGATAGATACAATAAAGGAGTGAACCTTGGTCAGTGCCTTGGTGCGTGCGATGAAGGCGTCCACCGCAGCGCGCTGCGGCGCCGGCACGTGGGCCCGAAGCTCGTCCATGAGGTCGTGTTCGGGGCACACGGCTACGTAGGACACGCCCAGGAGCGTCTCGACACGCGTCGTAAAGACAGTGAGCTGCTTGTCACCGACAACTGGCAGCTACACGTCTGGTTGCAACGTTGATCGTTTCGATAGCAAAGTACGTTAAAGTGGACTTGGGCGCCTTCGGAACGGCCGATCCACGCCGCTTGCATGCGCTTGACAGCGTCCGGCCACTCGGTGAGCTAAGCGCCAAATAAGACAAGTTGTCTGACGATAGACAAGCGACCATCGTACCGTATCGATACCGTTCAAAAGCTCGTCGCCGTACTTTGTGATACCGAGGAACCATTGCGAAAGCGCGCGCTGCTCCACGATCGCACCCGACCGCCACGACCGGCCTTGCGCATCGACCTAGCAATGCGAGCGTAAGAGTGAGGCAGCCAACGTCTCTAAACCTGTTCGTTGGCTAGGACCGTTTGGTCGATCGGGTCCCAGTTGACCATCGCTTCCTTCCGGTACGCGAGGCCCTTTTTGAGAAACTCGAGGAAGATCCACTGCGTCCACTTGTAGTAGTCGGCCTGGCACGTCGTCACCTCTTGGCTCCAGTCAAAGATGATGCCAAGGTTCTTCATCTGGCGCTTCGCCTCGGCGATGTTGGAGAGCGTCCAGTCGGCGGGCGACACGCCACGCTCGATGGCCGCGTTCTCAGCCGGAAGGCCAAACGCATCCCAGCCCATTGGGTGCAGCACCTACGCGCAGCGATCATCATCACTGCAACGAGCATCCAAGCTCATCGTACATCGTAGCCTTGCATGCGACGGAGGCGCGCCATCGTGTCGCTGATCGTGTACACGCGCACGTGGCCCATGTGCAGCTGCCCTACCGACCACGAGGTGAGGCCGATACGTTGGCCATTGGCGGCGAACCGGACGGGTACGGGAACATGGACAGGCAGTAGAACTTGGGCTTGTCGGACGTCGCGGGCGCCAGCGCCTTGGCCTCGTGCTTGGCTTCCCACGCTGCCTGCCACTTCTTGTCGACGACCTGCGACAGCCGCGTGACGCGCTGCGTCGAGAACGAGTGACGCGCCGAAGCAAGGAGCGGGCGTGCCCGCCGGAGCAGCATGGACGCCATGACGCACTTTCAAGATTGGAAGCAACTTACTGGTCGAGTCGCATTCGGCAGATGCCGCATTGAAGCCTTGTTTTCGGCGGCGTTCGAAACCGTCACATGTCGCACGTCCGCATTGCGCAAGCAGACGCCGATGACGGTATGTGTTGGCGTGCCCGTCAACGTTGCGACTTGCGTCCAAGCGCTCGCCTCGCGACTCGCTAGGTCATGAGTCTCGTGGTGTAGCGACGCACGAGACACAACTGGCTGCCCCAGCGCTGGCCGCGCTAGCTTTCGGCATCTCGGTTCATATGCCGAAAATAACATTTTATGTTTTCTTACAAACATCAAGTCTATGATGCTAGACTTGAATAATAATACTCGGCCTTCTGGATTGGTTGATTGTTGCACCAATCAGACGCCGGCGATAGCCACTTGGCTCTATTTTTGCTTGTCATTTTCGATCGCGATGGCAACGCCACGGGCCACCCAAGATGACGAAGTCGAGGTGCGACGTCCGCGCACGACTACGTTCTTACTGCGCGTCGTCGTAGCGACTCGTCAAGTGCCGAGTGCGCTCCGAAGTCGAAGCGCGCAAGGCCGCCGAGGTGACCATGAAGCGAGCGATGAAGGAAGCGACCGAGGTACCTGATAAAGCGTCGCACTCGCCCAATAGCCATGCTACTAGCTCAAGAAGGAGCTCATGCTCATGCGAAAGGAAAAGGAAGACTTGACGTAGCTCATCACATAGACTATGGAGCGCGAAGGACTCATCGGCGGCGCTAGGGATCGCGCTCGAGCCGCCGAGCCCGCGCCGAAAAGTGTCAAGCAACCCTCCGACGATTTGCTCAAGAAGCTCGCTCGGCGCGAGAAGGAGCTTGAGCAATGCAAGCAGCTATTGAGGGACAAGGACGCGGCCGCCGACGAGGTCCAGACCCAAGTGCAGCAGCTCCACACATCCCTCGAGCGAGCGACAACTATCACGTCGGCACTGGTACGACCTCCGTAGCGCCAACTTCGCCTCACAGACTTCTTTCATAGCAACAGCAGCTGGACGAGGCCAATGAGGTGGCCAAGAAGGCGGGCATCGAGCTGCGCCAGCTCAAGCTCTCGGCCGACGACGGCAAGAAAAAATATCAACGCAGTATCAAGGAGCTCAAGGAAGAGAAGGCTGCGCTCAGTTCGGAGAACGCGCAGCTCGCTCAGCGTCTCAACGACGCAACCACGTCGAATGTACAGACGTCAGCGCTCAAGAAGCAGCTCACGCAGGCGCGCGACCGCCTCGCGAGCATCGTCGCGGACCACGACGCTCGAATTGCACAGCTCACGAGTGCCCACGCAGCAGCGCTCCACGAGCTCCAAGCCCAGCACGCAAAGGCGCTCGCACAGCAGCGAGACGAGCTCACCAGTGCGCATGCGCAGGAGCTGCAGGCCAAGCTGCAAGCAACGACGATGGTGTCGCAGATCGAGAAGGAGCGGGAGCAAGTGCGCGCGGACGCCCTCCGCCGTCTCCAAGACGAGCTGCAGATCGAAAAAGAAGAAAATGTCGACTTGCTTCAGGTGAAAATGCGCTCACATCGCGATTCTCGACCTCACACCATTATTCTGTAGACAGTCAAGTCGCTTCAGGACAAGCTGCGTCTCGTCGCCGAGCTGCACCGCGACGGTACCCTTCCCTGCAAGCTAGAGGAAGTATGCACAGTGTCGAGTAGCGGAGCGCGCCAAAGCGGCAGCTGAGGTTGAGAAGGAGAAGGCGCTGGCGTGGAGTGCCAAAGCCGAAGACGCAGCCGATGCGTGCGAAGCCCAAGCCAACAAGTTCAAGGACGAATGCGCGCTCCTTGAAGAGAAGCTGTCGGTTGTTGACGCGGCGCTCCGTCGGCGCGGTATCTCGATGGACTTTTTACTCAAAAAGAAAACCTCCAACAACAACGACGACGACGAGCCGGCCAAGGCCAAAGCGGTGCCATCACACACAAGTAAGGCCAAGAAGAAGGTCGTGGCCGAGCCCGAAGGCCGCGACGAGAGCGTCAAGCCCTTGCGGCGCAAATAAGAGCCCAATGACATCATACTTGCTATGAATTTTGCAGTCTTTACTGCATGTAGCGCTCAGTAAACGTCGTGCGGTACGCTTCAAACGTGCCGGCCGCGATCTGGTCGCGGATCGTGCGGAAGAACGCATAGTAGTGGTGCATGTTGTGCATGTACAGGAGCACGTCGGCGAGCATCTCGTGGACGTTGAGCAGGTGATTGATGTATGCGCGCGAGTGGCGGGTGCACGCAAAGCACGTGCAACCCGGGAGCAGCGGCTTGGCGTCGCGCTCGTACTGCTTGTCCCGGAGGTTGATCTTGGTGCTCTCCATCGCCTCGGTCTAGACACGCGTATCGTCAGCCTCGCTTTGTGGACAGATTGTCTGTTGCAGTACCGACGTATCGCCAATCCAAAAGACCAACGCGTACGAGAATTTGGTCACAAGAAGCGGGTACGACGAGAGGAAGGCGTCGACGCCGAGGCTGACGCTCGCCAGCACGTCGAGGGGCTGGCCGACGTTGAGGAGGATGCGCGGCAGCGACGCTGGCACCTGCGTCTGGTACTGCACCAAGGTCTCTTCGCGGAAAGCAGCCGTCTCGCCCCCGCCAAAGCCCGCAATGACAACACCGTCGATCGGACGCTTGCACGTTTCCGTGACGCTAATGGCGCGGAGCCGCGGCTCGTTGCCGCCGACGAGGACGCCAAAGATCGGCGTGTCTTTCGGGCGGGCGGCCAGGCACGCATCGAGCCAAGTGAGCGACGTTTCGACCGCCGTCTGCTGCCGCTTGTAGCCAAAGGTCGGGTCGACCTCGTCGGCGAGCGCAAAGAAACTCGATGGCGCGTACGTGTTGACGGCCTTCATGTACTCGTCGGCCGTGATCTGCTTGCGGCCGTTGCTCGACTCGAAGCTGCGCTGCGCACTGGCCTGCGTCTTGGTGTTGCGCGCAATCTAGACACGCACATGAGCAAGGCCATGTGAGCTAATCAGAAGTACAGGCATGTTGGTGACGTCCGTGATGGAAAAGATGATCTTGGCGTCGTTGGGCAGCTGCAAGTACGACTTGAAGTCCATCTGCGTCTGCTCGAGAAAGGCCAGCGATGAGAACCTGGTCGATAGCTTGCCATGAGCCATCTCTACAGGTTCGGAAGCGCGACGTACAGCTCGCCAAAGTTGACGCCAACGAGGCTCAGGTCCTCGAGCTTGGTGCAGTTGTCTACGCCACGCCGTGAGCTGCGTCCGACGTACTCAGCATCTACCTGGCGTCAGATGCGGCATGTTGCCCGCGACCGTCTACATGGAGCATCATGAGTACGTGGCGCTTGTTGACGACGCTACCGCGGGAATGTAGCATGGCGTCGGGACGCCCAGCAAGCTCGATCGCCGCTCCATCCCAAACGAGTGGTACAATATCTTGCTCTCGATTGGCTGAAGTACTTTGCGCAAGGCCATTGGTCAAAAAGATATCCTATAGCATCCAGGATTGGTGCATTCTGTAAATACGCTGATTGGTGGTATTCGGGCACTACCGGCACCGACTCTGCAGTGGTGAAGCTGTCGCAAGCTTGCGAACCGACAGCCCGACCGCAGGCTCTACTATGGGGCCATTTCAACTAAGTGCGCTGTAAACTAACTACATGTACGCGTCGTAGCTTTGTGGTTCAGAAATGGGAGTTATGTCTAATACTATTAATACTTTTTGCTCTGGTAGACGACCACAGCCTTACATTCCTTGAATCGATGGGATTAGGGTCCCTGCGTTGACGGCCCCGCGGTCACGGCTGCGTACATTAGCTGATCTACTTCATCCATCGTGTCGCGCTTGCACTGGGCAATCACAAGCGTCCAAAAGATGACGAATGCCAGCACCGCGAGGGTCAGCGCAGAGTACGCAAGGGCCTCC